ACGCGGTGAGGGAGCGTGACGAAACATTGCGCGGATTCACGTACGGCTTGCAGGTAGCGCTAGGCGAAGTGGGGTGTGCCACCCACTACTGGGCACTCGCTTAATTTGCATAATTCGTACCGATAACCGCATCACGATTTCACAAAACACTAATAGAGTTGTTTACGCATAAAATGGGGCGTCGTGTAATAGTGCAATGCAGGGGCGTAGCCAGAAATGTTTTTCAGGGGGGGGGGGGGGGGGTGCTACAGCGACCCGACGGTGGGGGTGGGGGGCATAGGCATCAGCTTTTAGGGGCGAATCAAAGGGAAGTTTATTGCACTTCTGACAAGTAATCAATTACACTATTCCTCTCCGACACTTATCACGGACACCCGCGGTAAAGACACCGATGAACAGCAAAAACACGTTTAGACTGTACACTACAACAGAAGCGCGATCATTCGAACACTCGTTATACAAATGCTATAAGAGCGAAGCTCTTTAAAGCGGCACCTGTTCGTCTGTCGTTGTCGTAGTCGTAGTGTGTAACCAGTGTTACATTTTGACCTGCAAGGTGGTGCCGATGGGAGATTTCTCCTGTGCTTTGTTGAACAATAAAAAGTTCGCGGCATGCGCGTTAACTAAAAGCCGAATGCTCCTGTCTCTCATTCCCCATTAGCAGCCATTGGCATGTACATTGAGCACTATCGGACAAGAAAGGGTTGCTACGTTATACTCGCAGGGTGTAACATCCTTAGTTTTAGAAAGGTTTAGCGAGCGTTGAGCCGCAGTGCCATGAATACAATGAACTAGTATATACCATGAATGAACTCGAGGTGGTTAAAGGTGGGAAGTAGACACGAAGCGCAAGCCGTAAGAAAGTAAACGCCGAATTCTCCTGTCTCTCATTTCCCATTGTACATTGAGCACTATCTGACAAGGAAAAGGTTGCTACGTTATACTCGCTGGGCGTAACCTCCTTGGTTTTAGAAATGTTTAGCGAGCGTTGGGCCACAGTGCCATGAATACAGTGAACTATAGTATATATCATGAACTCGAGGTGGTTAAAGGTGGGAAGTAGACACGAAGCGCAAGCCGTAAGAAACTGTGCGTGGGCCGCTTCTCGTTTAGTCCTTGGAATGTCCGCTGGATGGCGGTGCTTCTATATGGGGAATATATAGTGAAAAGATGCGAGATGGTGGTACTTGGAGTGTTGAATAGATAAACGAACGGACACACGGACAGATGCATGGATGGACGCATGAACGGACGCATGAACGGACGCAGGGGCGGATGCATGTACGAACGCAGGGACGGACACACGAACAGAAGCACGCACGGACGGGTGGATGGGCGCATGGACGGTCACACTGACGGACGCATGGACGGACGGAAGCAAGAACGAATGGATGGACGAATGCTTCGCCCCACTCTCCATCATTCACTCCGTGGACATGCTGCCATTTTTTTTTTTCTGTGACTTCACTATTGGCGGTTGTTTTAAACCGGTTGCGTACATGTATATCAAGTCCTGAGATTCCTCCTCTCCCCATGCGTATGGCTGTGAAGAGAGTAAGTAAATGTACTGTAAGAATGATTGATTGATATGTCGGGTTTAACGTCCCAAAACCACCATTAGAATATGAGAGACGCCGTAGGGGTTCGGAAATGTAGACCACCTGGGGTTCTTCAACGTTCACCCGAATCTGAGCACGCGGGCCTACAGAATTTTCGCCTCCATCGAAAATGCCGCCGCTGCAGCCTGGATTCAATCCCGAGACCTGCGAGTCAGCATCCGAGTACCTTACCCACTATATAAACCACGGAGGCGAGGCAGTACTGTAAGAAGTAGTCTAAATACAGTGAAAGGCTGGTCTACTGACCGTTTGCAGCAACGGTCTCTCGTGGCACCATTGAATGTTGTAGTCTTCGAAAACGCATTATTGCGATGACGCGCCGCATAGGAGAAGACACCATTGATCACTAATCGTTAAGCGTAGATGCCGTAGTTTTTGTCGGGGCGAGGCACGTTTCGCAAGTCCAGGAGGGTTTCGTTTACAACAAGGAATGATAGGTATATGCAGCATGTTTTTGTACTTTCATAATTACATTTTGGTGTTTGCTTACTTTGCTGAGCGAATTCCTTACTGCCGATGTTTGTGAGTTCATGCCTATGGGAATGATTTTATATGTTAACCTGTGTATGTCAAGCAGCCCTGACGCAGTGGCAGCATTTAGTGAATTTTTTTTTACTTTACTACTAGCATCCAAGCATGCGTGCGATACGTAATAAGTAATTTTTTGTAAGAGATGCAGCACGTTGGCAACACGATTTCGCGCACATTATTTTCGGGCAGACTTTCAGTTGCACTGTGACTTGATAGCAATGAAGTAGTCAAATCATAGAGGTTTTAGTGTGCAATCTGTGAGGGCAAGGTAATCATTAATGGGAAATGTTCACTTGGCCTCAATCAAAAGTGCACGTGCGACCGAACTATACCGACTCACATAAAACTATCTTTGTCGCTGCGTATATGCGGTAAAACAGTTGAATACGCGCAAAAAACGCGGAATGTTCTCGTTTTTTTTTTTGTTTTTTTATAGCTTTCGTCCCTTGGCTCCTTGAAACGATAGCGTTGTGGCAAGGAGTCTTCCATTGTTTGCAAGCGTGCAGTCGACTTTTCTTTTTACGTCAACAGATTCAGAACTTGAAATACTCGCGGCCAAGATTCCTGCCTAAAATCTCACAGAGTTCTAAGTCTTGAGAAACACCGCGAAACGTTTTTCCGTATGCAGACATTATTCATTGTAAAAGTGTCGAGGAATGATATTGTGATAGTAGCAGCGCTTAGCTTCTTAACCATGTCAGCGCGAAGCGACAAAACAAAAATAAGTTGGGTAAGTGGCAGGGGGGGGGGTGTTGAACAAAAAATTTCGGGGGGGGGGGAGATCAACCCCCCTCAATCCCACCCCCCTGACTATGCCACTGGTGCGATGGCACCCACCAGTTTTACACGTGGTATAGCGGCCCCCATGCACCAAGCGCTATCTGGTGGAAAGAAGGCGAACGCGCCCAACCTTTCCACGGGGCTGCGCTTCTGAGCCCACGCATCACCTCTCCTTCGTACACCGTCGTATGCAGACTTACAAATGAGCTGGTTTCCCGAAGACTTAGGCTAAGAACGGTAACGTGTCGTAACACGGGATAAAGTGGGACACCACATTACGTGGAATCCGTAAAGACAGCATTGATGCATCTGCGCGCAGAGACACGGAGAGAGGAGGAGGGAAGCCGGTAAGCGGACGGCGAGGCGAGAGAGTGAAACGACAACGGCGTGTGCCAACCGGAAGCGGTCAGTCGGATGAGAAAACCGGGTCTCTCTGGAGCGGAGAAGCAGTATCACTTTCCTCCTCGCACTGTTATATCTTATTCTCATTTGAGTTCGTGCCTCGCGCGCGCGCTTGCAAGCGCCATTCCGGACCCTCGAGAGATAAGTCGGGGTGCGCGGAGTAGCGGGAGACACACGCGCATTACATGGCCTCGTTTGAAAGCCAAACCGATTCGAGCTTGCGATGGGGGTGCTATTCCCTCTTGCTTTCACGATGTGTTTTTGTTTTCTCTTTCCCGAACCTTTGATACCGATGTCGGTCGTTATAGGACTTCGCGAAATGAGGTCTCGCGTGGCTCCCGCGTGTCGCGGAGGAGAAAGTTAGTGGCCCGGCTTTTGGGGTGGAAAATCTCTGCGATCGTTGTGGCAGGATCGAACACGACGGCGTTTATAACCATAATTGCGACGATGACATCAGTAGCTCCTTCAAAACAGGTCAGAAAGCACATGCAAAACACCGATACATTTTACTGGAACTTTCTGGTATAGTTAAAAAGGCCAACTCCGGCGATTTTTCGATCATGTCAAGGTAATGGTGTTTCTACGTTCCTGAAACACTCTTGTCACGATATAGCTGAAATTCTGAGAAAATTTGAAAATAATTTTAATAGGCAAAAAGGTGCAATACCGAAACCGAAACCCAACCGGGCGCCCTGTCTGCGTATAACGTACTCTGGGGGCCGTATACTGGTTCCAATGGCGCGGAGTATGAAAACTGTGAAAGCAAGACCAGCAAAGCACCGACCAAACACTACAGAGGAACTAAAAAAAAAGCTTTCCCGCGCTATACTCGTGCCAAACGCCGCCATTGTCGCCTTGTGGCTAGCATTATAAACGCTGTAGCAGCCAAAGTAGCGATGCTATCTTCTGCGTCACTTCCGTTTACGTGCCAAACATGACGTGACACAAACAGTGTTGCAAATAATTCTGCCAAGCGAGGTGAGCTCTTCGAGTCAATCTTTAAAATTCATTTGCAAACAATCAGTGCATCTCTCAAGCCTGTAATTTGGCAGAAATGACGGAAATGTGCAAAGGAACGTACCCGGCGATTTTATTTGAGATCCACTGACCTCGAAAAATCGCCAGGGTTGACCTTTAACCACTTTTACATACTTTAAGGTGTGCATGTCTCTAGCACATTATAAAACAGGCTTACAAACATTGGTCTATAATGCAGTGGAAGGTGGGTGGGAGGTGGGGGGGGGGCTGCTTCAGCGCCCATCTAATTACCGAAGAGCAACACGAAACCTGCTCCAAAGCATTATTAACTTAAACTTGTCGGGTCATGGTTTATTGCTTAGGTAATGCGGGTCTTTTGCGGCAATGACGGTCAAGGACCGCTAATTATGGATTGTAAGAACTGTTGGCCTTCCACCTTAACTCTGGAAAGCCGGAAACTACCGGCAAAGGCCGTTGTGAGGAGCACATCATCATCGTTTATTATCGTTTCTTTTTACGTAAGTTGCAAAGCTCGTTTACTTTCGGACTCAACCGACGGGAAATGGGGAGAAGCATAGGCACGTTGCAGTGATACTTGGCTACCCCTAATGTAGATCCCTGCGCACACCATGGTCCTTGAGCATAACCTCTAAATTACGGAGAGGATACGTGTAAACGATGAGCACGCACCTATCCTGAGGACGAATATGGGTCTCCCCTCGGGGTCCTTGAGGGGCAGCCGCATCTGGCCGTTCGCCTGGTACACGTGACGCAGCTTTGAAGGCCGCAGTCCCTGGAAGATCTCGGGAGACTCGCGCCGGTGTCGGTAGTAGTTGCGGATGGTGCGGAAGGCAACCTCCACCTTGAACTTCTTGGTGCGAAGGAAGCGGAGCAGGAACTCGTCGTCCATGCGGGAGTGAAGGCTCGTCTCGCCTGCGCAGAATCCGACCGCATATACACGTATTAGGGAGTGTTAGTACCGAGGACTTCTAGCTGTTGGGTACCCGAGCTTTTGCGTTTGTCTGTATTTTCTCCGCTTTCTTCTATTTGCCTGCCATCTTCAAAGAGATTACAAGATAACGCAAGAGCTTCGGTATCGCAAGCCACTTGGGAGCCCCAGCACTAGATCTCTCCTTTCATACCTGATTGCCATAAACTATCAGCACTGCTCGGGAGCATCCTCATCCTCATAAACAATGAGCACCTTGCATTCCAACGAACAGGCATTCAGTTAAGCAAGTCGAAATCACAATACTTCAGGTTCCGAGGTGCTGGGCAACAGCGGTCATGCAGTTTCCTTAATGGTGTATCCCCGTATTTTAAATGACCATGTACTTCCACGTGTGCAGCTCTTTCTTTCATAACGAACTTTATACTACCTAATAAATGTGGATGTAGTCCTGAAAAACAAAATGAAAGGCATTTGTCACGCTAAAATTTCGCATTAGCGGGTAGAGAGTGAGGTTGCACGTCCCCAGCCGAAGCCTGTGAGTGATGTGTCGTTTGCAGCTATAGCTGTCAGGTGAGCACAAAGCAGTTTTTGTTTATGAACTCATGATTAATATCTGTAATCTGTACAAGCAAGAGGTAGACTGCAAATAAATGGTACGTTATGTTGAAATTAGCAGCCCCAACTCATTACATGCCTGGGAACACTAATGAACATTTCAGATTACAGGCATGATGTCTTGCATTCTAATGGAACACTTCACGATTTTAAAGCGATACCAATTAGAGAAAATTTAAATCGATATCCAGTAATTTACGTCGACGTTGGTGTGGTTCCAAAGTTCCAGTACGATAAGATTCCATCCCGTGCCACGCACAGTACGCTGTGGTTTCGTGCCAAGGCTAGCAAGATAGCGGGCAGAAGGGTCAGGAAGTGGAGGGATAATTGAACTTCATAATTGTGTCGAATTGCGTTTAGAAAAGTGGTTGACGATTTAGAGTACTTAGTACTCTACTATGAGAGAGCTGAAAGCCGTTCTGTGGAGCTGCGGCCGTCTTCCCCTGTCGTTACAGGTAGGATGCCTGTTGGTTGTAGATCCGAAACCACTTGTAGCGCAGGAAAGAGACACAAGCACACACCCCAAAAAATACGATATGTCATACTAGCGCTTACTACCAACAAATATTTATCGAACATCACTCTTGTATATACTGTGCTTATCACTGTCGTGCATGTACGCACTATACTTTCTAAATAAAGCACACCTCTTTATCTGAAAGGGTTACAGATGGGGTGCTGACGCAGGCTGAACCGAATAATGTACCTTTTCTGCCTCTATAATCTCGCGAATGAGCCTGTCACCACTTCTACTGACAACAGATACGCCACGAAAAAGGTTCACAGCCACAAGGACCGAGGCAGAAAAGATATTCCCGTTAGTTTCAGCCTATGTCATCACATCATCTGTACACCTTTCAGATAAAGAATTGTGCTTTTTTTAGAAAGTAGTGTGTGCATGTGCCATGCTGATCAGGCCATTATATACACGAGGGGTGTCTTATATACCTTAGATGGTAGTTAGCACTCGTATGTTGTCTCATTGATTGATATGATTGATACGTGGAGTTTAACGTCCCGAAACCACCATATGATTATGAGAGACGCCGTAGTGGAGGGCTCCGGAAATTTCGACCACCTGGGGTTCCCTAACGTGCACCCAAATCTGAGCACACGGGCCTACAACATTTCCGCCTCCATCGGAAATGCAGCCGCCGCAGCCGGGATTCGAACCCACGACCTGCGGGTCAGCAGCCGGGTACCTTAGCCACTAGACCACCGCGGCGGGGCCTCGTATGTTGTCTCAACGTCTTTCCTGCATACGTATGTGTTTCCTGAGTTACAAATCGTTTCACAGAGATATTTGATTGAGGTGAGCATGCCGCGACAGTAAATATAGATGACATCTTGTTTCCGTTCCCTTCATTATCTCCGCCTCCACCTACCTCCAAATTACGCTACGCCGCGCTGCGAAAATAAGCGTCGCTCCTATCACACCACTCGCATAAGGTTAATCGCTTAGCCAAAACAACTCTGCCAGCAGTGGCCAGGTGATTGCTACGCGCAGTAACATGCGTAAAAATCGATGCTCGCACTGCTTTTGCAAGTCATCCGAGGTGTTTCCACAGAATGGGCGAGTGTAGATGGCCTATCATTGACTTCACAGGACAGGGGGCGCTGCGATGAACCTGAGCCTTACTGTACCCCCCCCCCCCCCCCCCCCCCCTCGAAGGGGAGCCCGGCGCAGGCTTATCACTCGCCTTGTAACAGGTTGCGCAGCTTGACGAGACACAGGTCTCTCTTGCGGGCGTCCTCGCCCAGTTCCTCGGCGGCCACCTTCTGGAGCTCTTCGGGCAGCGTCCCGCCACCGCCGAGGCCGCCATCTTGGTTATGGGGCGCCAGGATGCGAGTGGCCGCCATGCGAACCCTCTTCCTCTGCTGCGAGAAAGCGTAAATAGATAGTTCGTACTGAAACTACTGCGATCACCATGTCACGTTACTACAGACCTTTTCACAGACACTTGCTTTTGGCACTGCCACATTGCGCTCTGGGCTGTTGTAAATAAGCGTCACCCTCACCACCCCCCTCCAAAAATCATGCACTGCGACGCCAGCCTTTGTACACCACACGCAGCCCAGCATGGTAGCGTTGTTTTCTCTCCTGCGGGAGATCTATGTGACGCCCAGAACTTGTGCAATGAAGAAACGCGACAACGCAGGTGAGAAGTGCACTGAGAGGGAAGACGATGACTGCGATAATCGACCGAAAAACATACCCCGTCAAGTGATGCGAAGCGTGATTATTGATTACAAGCACTCTATGGTGAAATGCGGAGGTGCAGGTCCTCTGCGAGGATAGACCGCACGTTGCCAGACTACAAAAATAGTTCACAGTGGGTTTCCAGTCATTTAAACAACAGTCACTTGTACCGAGGTAGTGTGTGGTCAGTACTTTGGTTAACCGATCCCCCTAAGCTAACCTGATAAGGCTGCTCTGACTTCTATGCAGTGTGCAAATAATAGCCGCGTGTTCAAATCTGCATGCGACGCTTCGCGGAAATCCATGCATTGCCTGTATGGTTATTCTCCCTTTGTGAGATGCAGGAACGTATGCCACAATAAGTGGTGAAGCCGATATGGTGTCCTGACGTCGACCATCACTGTTATGCTTTAGTAGGTAGCTTAGTGAGAAGCTGCTTCCTTGATTTCACACGAACCCTGTTCCACACTCGACTCGCTCATACTGCACCGATTCTGTTGATGCGAAGCATCCCTCCCCATCGTCTTAATACGTCAGGAGTACAGCCTGGTTTAGTCAAGAGTGAGGGACAGAGAGAGAGAGAGAAAGAAAGGTCAGTGAGGGACATAGAGGCTAACTGGGAATCTCCAGTTGGGGTATACCCTGTACTCGGAACAAGGAACGGGAACATCAGTGAAAGTGGAGGAATGTCTGACAGCACTAAAAAGTCATTATGACTACAGCAATTTCCAAGTACCACCTGACAACGTCAATGCAAGGTCACAACGGGTTGTTCAGCCAGGTGACAAGACGTCACACGTAGAAGTCAGCCGTCATCTGCCGTGTGCTGAGGGGTCATGCCTGCCGCTCCTTTCTTTCCGTTCTTAAAAATTAATCAATCCATGGTTAATAAATGTTCCCCCAATGTGAAGTGTACTGGCAGTCCGGTGAAGAATTGCAATGTATTTCAAACACAATCCAACATCAGGCACAACAGACGACCACGATAGTGCCCTGCTTTTCTTATTCTAGGGGCTGCGGCCAGCCATGCAGCCAAACCTGCAGTCCCTGCGCTGGCTGTACGAACGGGTGATAACTGTGGTCGGAATAATGTTTATGGTGGCTATAAACGTGGGTGCTGGAATAAAATAATTTGCTCGGTAGAGGCGATAGTGCAATATCCTATTGACAATGAAGAGAAAGCAAGAGTGAACAGAAAGTCAGCAAGGTTGGCAAAATTTGGTTGGTTAGGCTTCGTGGTGGTAGGAAGGTAAGAGCAGAATAGCGAAGGAGAGAAATACGAAGAAGGGCGCAAACGACGTAATTGCGCACGCTGAACAGCGGCTGCAGGCGGTCCGGCGTATATACAGGGTGTCCCACGTAACTTTTGCCACAGTTTAAAAATATGCCCGAACACGTAATTGCGACGCGACCATATGCATGTTGCTCACTGTTGCCTGGAGTAAGTCAGACTATTTTTTGTGTTCTCAAATATTGTTTACTAGATATGTTTAATTAACTAACATTCAAGAAACATAGATAGATAAAAATTCAATCAGAAACTTGTACAGATCTGTTTGCAAAACGTCCGATTAGACAGTCGATTAGACAGTTTTGAACTTCATATCTGTTGGGTATTCGTGTTTTTTCTGCTCATTACAAATGCCCGCCAAATACAAAAATGTAGCACGTGAATAACCCGCTCGTACGCCAGTACGCACACTGATTCCAGTGCTCCCTAACGTTCCGCGTACGAACGACCATAGCATTTGCCCCATTGTGCTGTCTCGGCAGGGCGGCAACGATGGTGGTGGCTTTACGATGAACACGTTTTGTTATCGGCCACAAAAACGATAAACGCTGTGACTGCTTATCGCTGTCATGAACCGGGGCGAGGGAAGCACCTCGTTATACGTGGTACCCGAGGGAGCACTATAGAATTATCGTGTGCACTGACGCGCGAGCGGATTTGTAACGTGGTATTTTTGTATATCGCGGGCATTTCTAATTAGCAGAAAAACACTAATACTTAACACTAATACCAATAAAACTTTCTATTTGGACGTTTTGCAAACAGATCTAAAACTTTCTCATTGAAATTCTTTTTCTACTCTTCGTTCCTTCAAAAGCTAGTTAATTAATCAGATCTAATTAAACAATATTGGAGAACATGAAAACT